TGTGTGTGTGTGTGATTGTTTGTTTTATATTAGTATCAAATTGACTTTAGTTAGTTTTGAATCTGAATCTCAATAAATTTTATGTTTTGGAATAATTTTTTGTGGTATGGTGCCATTACATGACTTTTGTTGTGAAATGGTGCTGTATAAAAAAAAAAAAACTGAAAAGAAAAATGTTTATAAGTTGAGCTCCGGTTGATTTTTTCCCCCCCAGACAGTTACTTGTGATGAATAGAAGGTGACAAAACCTTACTTGTGTCCCAGCTCATGTGCCACAGTGAAGGCCATTGGAAGGCCAGTGTCTTCACTGATGCTGCAACTGCGATGTGGCTGACACATCCCAGCCACGTGAGACAGTCCCAGAGTCTCACACGGCATGTTGACGGCTGCACATATGTCCTTCCTGGGAAAGGCAAACAGTGTTAGTCAGAYACTTTATCTCCAGCCATTTGGGAGCATTCATTCAGACACTGATTATATGATAAATAACTGCCATGTTTTGATCATTTTTAGATGCAAATTGGATATTTTGTGCGGATGAATTTAAAAATGTATTTTCATTTCCATTCCTTTCGTTGAAAAATTACATTGGTGTCTGAATACAAAGAGCAGTAAAGAGGCACTTACGTACATCAAGCAGGAAGAAAAAGAGAACAGAGGAAGCATGAAGGATTTCTGAGGTGATGTCAACTAAAAAAGTAAAAGTTGAATGACATCACATCAGCTCAGAGCTGGTGAAGCAGCAGAGGAAAGAGGTACATCAAAAGGCAGAGAGGGCAGAGGCAAGATGGCCAAAAGACACAACATCATTATTCGTGTCTAACTTTGATCTTTTAATGAACTTCCCCAACATCAAACTGCTTCAAACTATTTTACCACAGTCAAAAACCACACTGGCCTTTTTCCACACCAGTTCACCTGTTTTTCCTGACGGTTCCTTTCAAAATCACCAAGCATCTTTGCTTTTTAAAAGGATGTTCCCCCCAGCTATAACTCATCATTTTATCTTCARTTCCAAATCCTGTCTGCCCCAAAAGGATCTAATTTCCTTGATGGTTGCAATCTCTTCACTTTACAGGCAAACTGGTCTAATTTATGCTGATGTGAAAAGTAAAAATGAACAAAGTTGTTGAGATTGGAGTTTTATCTGCAGTCTGACATGCAGATGTAAATTTAATGATGCATTTGGTCACAACCTTCATTCACCCGTGAAATTATCAGCTATATTTAGACCTCCAGCTCAAGTCGTTTAGATTCTATTACATAATGTTTATCTTACACACGTGCAGTTGATAAACAACTGAGATGGACAACTGAAGAAGACTGTCCATCTCTTTACTTCGAACTAGGTAGATTTGTTTAATGATGGATCAGTTTAAAAGCTATATGTCAAAGAAACCTATTTAAAAAGAAAGTTTACATCTATTTATAATCGATTTATTAAGGATTACTATGTACAAAACAACGCGCAAACTTCGTAAGGCACTAAATGTTGATTTATTAATGGTGCACAGCGAGGACTGTGTCTGTCAGATGAGCCAAACAGCAGTCAGCGTGTCTACCTCCATGAATATGCAGATTGTACTGTATGGTGATTACCAGATCACACAAAATACTCRGCAGAGGACATGCTGGTATAATCATTTTACACCCACTGTGTGATTTAGAAAACCTTGAAACTAATTGTGCCATTGTTTTAGTGTCTAAATTCAGYATGTTTGAAAGGCAGGTGCAAACTGTCTGCAAAGGGCTTCAGAGGTTATCCCCTGCACTTCAGCAGAGTGACAGTAAATATCCCACTTTAACGCAGTATAAATAAAAAAAAAAAATCCATGCTGAAGACAATCTACAACTTGACACATCTGCAGTTTTCATGAACCACCAGCTCTGGTAATACAGTGTCTGATAGTAATAAAATAAAATTTAGCTCATTTAAATAGAAATAAAATATATCACCGCAGGACTTAAAAATATAAATATAAATGAAAAACCCTTCCTGTTTTTTGGGGTTTGTTTATATCTAGATTCTCTCTGCACCTGTCAAACACCTCTGTGCTAACCTGCGGCACTGGACAGCTGAGCTCTGTAAGCTGTGTTGCATGTTTTGGTTGACAAATTATTAAAACCTTTGCTTTTGTCGATGTTAAAGTATCACATCAACAGTCAAGATAACTGTGYAATGAAAAAGTTACGAAAACATAAAAAATAAATCAATAAATTACTAGAGCTGAGTTGCTGAACCGTTCTAATTTTTTTATATATATATTTTGTGACACTGAATGATGTTTTGTCTGTTTTGTCTTTATCAGTATCATATGCTAAAYTTTCATTTCAATAGTGCGGTCTGCACCACTGCTTCACCTGTCATTCTTTGTGCACACAGTCTTAGGAAACCAAATGCAACATGCCCATTTTTACCACAGACTATTTTTTTTTTATTTTATTTGCGCAGGTCTTCAGTACTGGTTATCTTCCGTCTTCATAAATCAGCGCCTTAAGAAGGAAATTAAAGGTGAAATGAGAATGGAAAAATAAAACCTAAACCTATTATTAACTTTTCCTATTATGTTTGTATCAGTCAATCCCTGATGCCTCAGAAATCAGAAATGAAACATCCAATATCCAAACATCACTTTGTCTGAAATGGAGACAGATGCACAAAGTTTCATCAGGTGTAAATAAGTTAAAGGAACAGGTTTTGCACGGCACAACTGATTTGTCAATTTCACAGAGATTTTTATTTTCTCTCAAATGTATTAGAGAGAATTCAGCTGTGTCCAGCATTGGATCTTGCAGAATGTGGAAAAAACAACGTTTTTTTTTTTGTTCTTTTCCCTTCCAAGATAGTCGTGACTTTTTCTGACAGTACAAATAGAACAAATATGTTGGTGAAACACAACTTGAATATCTTAGATGTGATCTAAAAAGAGACTGTGTATATTTTTTGTAAAGTCATGGGAATAAAGGGAATGAATTATTTAAAGCTTTTATTTACAGAATTTATTCATTATTTGTTTGAGGGTCATATCAGAATACTATACTAAGCATACAGAWACACTGATACAGATACTATGCTATACTACTGTGTGAGTCAAAAGTCACAGGAAACTACTGTATTTTATTTTGTTACTGTTAGAAAATGTTCAAAATTTGAAATTCAATTCAATTCAATATATTCAAATAGCATCAAAACAAATATCATCTTAGGACAATGTACACCAAAAAACTATAAATTTTAAGATGTCAGCAGATTGTGTCAAAATTTGGAAACCCGAATAATGTGCATAGTACCCAATCCAGTTCTCAGTTAACTTAATATTTTATCCTCAGATCTAAAAATCTATTTCATCCTCAGAGCCTGTGTCTGTGGCTCTGAGACTAATCAAAACAAAATGGCCTCTGCTGCTGCTTTAAGCCTACATTAGAGATGTGACTTTCGCGGATGATCCGAATCTTTTGAACGGCTCTTTACTAAGAACGATAGGAGCTGAATCTTGGGGAGTAACGAGCCATTTGTAGTTTTATTTCTTTTATTCCTCATATAATCTTTAGTTTTCATACTTAAATTACTTCCGCTTTGCTTTTTTCATGGAAAATAGGACCAGTTGTGGAGTAGAAGCTCACGGGGGAAACACGTCATCACATAGCCGTACGTAATGACGTTGTCCCGTCATGTGGGTGGAACCATGTGTTTGTTAAGTAGAAACCCCCCCTTCCCCTTCCCTACGTGATGACGTAACTCGTTCAAAATCAAACGGCTTTTTTGATCAGCTCTATAAAACAAACAGCTCCCCAAGATCCAGATCCCTTCAAAGAGCCATTTATCCCATCTTTAGCCTACATGACATTAGTAAACCAGAATATTTATAGAACACCTGGCCACACCCTCTGGGTGTGGTACCTTTTACATCAGCACTGAAATACAGAAGTCTAAACATTTTTCTCAATTTGCTTAGTTTAGAAAATTTATTCATTTTCATTTAAAAACAAAACAAAAACTATACTACTA